ATGGATCAATTGAGATAAAATGGATAAACATATGCATATATATTTGTGTATGCAAAAATGCTTCTGAAGAGACATTAGAACAGAAAAGAGTGGTTGTTCTGAGAAAGGACAGAAAAACTGTGGGCTTGGTGCCACTGGAAGATTTCTCATTATAGTGTTGAATTTGTTTTCTACATATAGCATGTCTTTATTTTATGATAAACATTATTTAAAGGAAAAACAAAATACAGCATGAGAAAATACTACAAACCATGAGGCAGGGAAGAAAATGGCAGCTCGAAGGTTTATTGAAACCTCACAGTAGTGAATTCTGAGGCTAGATTTTAAAGACAAATTAGATTTAGCTGAGTGAAAGAGAAATCATGCATGCAGAGAAGGGGAGAACATGGAGATATGAGGGGATACTCACTCTAGGAAACCATCAGTAGTTCAGAACTGATGAGACAGACGGTGGATATAGGAGACTACCTAACTTGTGTCTCATTTTCTCCCAAAGACAGATTATGTCAGAGTAAGTTTAAATTTTATTTTGAGGCAACGGGGAATAACTCAAAAGTCTATAAGGAAAGTGTAATATAATCAGCTTTGCATTTCACATACATCACGATGGTGGTACTATGATCAATGACTTGACAAAGGACAAGGCAGGGAGGAGATACTTGTGCTGGAAGACTGCTGCCTTAATCTAGAAGAGACTCTAATGTGGTGACAATGAGGATAAAAAGAGGCAGATAATAAGATATTAAGAGGGCAGAATTAAAAGGATTTAGATTCTTACTTATGAACAAAGGAGTATATAAATTCATTGATTACAATTTACTTTTTTGGCCTGAATGACTGAGTAGACAATGGGGCCAGTCCTTCATTGTCAGGAAACATAAAAATGGCATATATATATTAGGAAAGGAATGTTCTACACAGTTAAGGTTGAGGTACCTGGGTACATTTATGAGATGAAGGTGTCTAGTGGCAGCTGGATACATGTCTAGAACACAGAAAAATGATGAAAATACAGACTTAATTGTTAAAGAGCAAAAGTGGTTGAAGTCATGGGGATATTTAAGGTCACCCACAGGAGGAAGGCTAGGGAAGGAACCACAGCATATAAGGGGTGGAATACATTTGGAAAGGCCCAAAATAAACCTAGGCAAGTACTCAGGAGTGAGTAGCCTCACAGAAGCTAGTGGATGACAGTTTTAAGAGGGCATGTACTCCTTCAGAGAAATATAAAAAGACAGGGACTGGAATGTGTCAGTGATATTGATAAATTATATACTTGATCACTGTGACAGAATTACCTATTGCTTAAAGGTCAGACCTCTGGTCCCCCTGAAACTGAAGTGGGAAAAGAGCATATGCAATTTTAAGTATGTTCCCAGTGAACTGCACCCTCAGGTCTGAAAACAACTATAGCAAATTCTAAACTCTTCAAGAAAAAGTATCTTGCTTAATTCATCATGTATACTTGGTGCTTACCATAGTAACTGTCACATAACAGACCCTCAATAAATGTTAATTAATTTAAAGATGAGATGAATGAATGGATGGGCAGACATATGAAAAAGCTACTAAATAAAACAATGAAAGAACTAATGACTGGCAAAATCTTGGCAGGATTATTGGAGCTTACATTCTAGTGGGGCAAGAGCAAGGCAGATGATATACATGTAAACAGAGAAATAAGATAATTTGGAGCTAAGGTAGTCAGGGAGAGTTTCTCTTAGGAGGCAGCATTTGGGTTGCCGGTTAAACTTAACCACATGACAGTCTATGGACAAAACATTTCAGGCAGAAGAAGGTCTTAAGGAGAAGAAGTGTGAATAGAGTATGCTTATGTAATAAAGAGGCATATGTGGTTAAAGTTCAGTGAATGAGACAGAGAATGGTAGAAGATATTCCTGAAAAGACTGATAGGGGTGTCATTCTAATTGCAATGAAAATCTACTTAAATTTTAAACAAAGTAAGGATATGATTTGATTTACAGTTAAAAACTATCATTCTGACATTTGTATAAATAATAGATCACAGCAAAGCAATGGTAGAAGTAAGCAAACCAGTCAGGGGTTGAGATAGTATTTCAGATAAGAGGGGATTATGGTGGCGGCAGAAGAGATGGCAAGAAGTGCTCAAATTTAGAATATATTCTGGAAATAGTGCAGACAATATCACGTTAATGGGTAGATACAGGAGGTGAGGAAAGGAGGAGTCTAAAGAATTTGGATTTTTGCCTGTAGGCCATGGGGATTCAAAGTTTGAGTGAGTGACACAATTATAGTAGAATACATTAGAGCAATTATCTTGAGGTAGGAAGCAAAATGAATTCTTTGGGAAAAAAAATAGAAGGTAGAGGTAAATTTGGAGGTGTTGGTAATATTCCAGGACTGAAGTGACAAGCACCTGATTTAAGGTGATGACAAAAGGAATGACAAAAAAGTCATGAATACATAGACCACCATCAAGAATGCAGAGATTTAATTTGCTGTGCCTTTGAGCACTGGAACTTAGCAGAGCAATCTAAGCTAGAAAGATTTCAAGCTATCAGAATATGCCTAATAATTAAAGCCATGTGAACAATTGAGATCACCCAGAAAAAGTTTGTAAAGGCTTGAAAATGAAGCCTAGATTAGAAACTGGCAAAAGAGAGTAGTAGTATCCAAAACAAAAGGAGAAAAACTAGGAAAGTGTGGCATCAAGAATGTAAATAGAAGAATTTTAAGAAGTATCTATAACTGGCAATTAAAGACTAAGAAGTATCTACTGGGTTTGGCAAAATAGATATCGTGCGTAATTTTGGTAATATCTGCATCCATTTTGAAGTAGAATGAGAAGCCAGGGTCCAGTTACATGTAGCACCTCAGACATGAAGAAGTACTGACAATGAATGGAGACGACACTTTTAAATTTTTGATTTTGAAGCAAAGATAAAAGACACGCAGCTAAGAAAAAGAACCAGGGAGGAGGGGAGGGAATCTTTAGGATGGGAGAAGCTGCAGTATGTTTCAACGGTGATATGAAGAAGTCAATAGAGAAAAAAGATAAAGAAAGTGGAGGGGGTGGGTTGACTGCAAGGACTCTGAGATGGCAGAAGTCAATGGGATCCAAGCACAGGTAGGGGCTTACATAAAAAGGAGGAAGAACACTTCTCCCAGTAGTAGTAAGCAAGGACAGGTATAGGTACAAGTAAATTAGTAGGGACGGTGGTGGGGTGGGGGAGCAGAAAGGAATTTCTAGTATCATGTCTTCTATTTTTTTTCTGTGAAGAAGAAAAGTCATCCACTCAAAGTGAGGAGGAAGGTGAAAGGATTTGAAATTTAAGGAGAGTAAGTGGAGGAAAATGAAATAGCCATTATGAATAATGGGTAGAAAATACTTGTAGAGAAATAAAAAATTGCCAGGCCAAGTTGAGGGATTTGATGAGGATGAATGAAATTATTTCCACATTTTTGTACTTCAAATCCATGATAATACCCAGTTAACTTATAACCAACATCTTGCGAGTATACTCCCCAAAACCTTACTTGCTTTTCTGACAAAGTATATCTACATGCTTACAATCTAAACTCATCACCTTAAATTTTGGAGATAGCTCTTTTGGGAAAAACCAAACCAAACCAAACCAACCAAACAAACAAAAATCACCTCTTTTGCCAAAGCCACAGTCTCTCATTTCTGAATTTCTCTTCCTTTCATTTTCATAAATTTAATTACATGATTTATCTACATTGTTTTGGTAGAAGTTAAATTTAGTCTTACAGTAGTGAATAGATGTGAACTTAGTTGTAGCAGTGGGCGTAGACTAAATTGCTATAAAAAGAGTACTATCAGATAAGCATGGAAAACAACCATGCCCCATAAATTGACTTAAATAACTGACACCAAATTATCTAGACACTAGACACCAAATGTAATATCAAAGTTATACACTTCTTATCTCTCTCTCTCTCTCTCTCTCTCTCTCTCTCTCTCTCTCTCTCTCTCTATCTATCGTAGAGTTGAGGTCTTACCAAGTTGCCCAGACTGGTCTCAAACCTGCGGGCCCAGACAATGCACTCGTCTCAGCCTCCCAAAGTGCTGGGATGACAGGCTGAGCCACTGAACCCAGTCAAACATTTCATTTTTAATTTTAATCTTTACTATCTGCCTAGCACATATTAGGCCTTAATAATGCTTAATGAAAGAAAAAATTAACACTTCAGAGATCTCTAGGCATTTGGTACACATTAATAAACCATAAAATAATCAATTACAAATAACTCCAAAAATGTGAAACCCATTAAGTTACTGAGGAGTACAACTGCTCACAGTTCACAGCAATGGTATTAACAATGCCCAGAGACAATATTGATGAATTAAGAGCACAGGGCAAGAAAATGATGACTTCTTAAAGGAGCTTGGTTCTTCCATATAAGTAGAGTGATTTACTTTTCTCCATCATGATCATGGAATAAAAAAACTCCAAATAGTGCAATAATTACACTATTCCAGTTAAAACTCTAATAAAATACAATAGAGTTAACAGAATAGTGTAATGAGAATAACTGAATATTTAATGTTTAGAACACATTTAGGATTTGACAGTGATAAGGGTTAAACAATTTCTTTACTACCCTGCAAGTTAATTTTCTAATTGGTAAAAGAGGTTAGATTAATCTGCAAAAGAAGTTTCCACTCCTGTTTCTGATGGTAAAGCATTTGATCACAAAGACTATCAGATAGTATAATACTTTTTATATAGCATATAATGTCCATTTTAATAAAAGTAAACTTTCTGACAGAACAATTTCCTCTTAGTTACAATTGTGTCCTGTATTTGAGTAAACAAGTTGATAATAATTTTAAACATATTTTCATATTCACTTGAAGTTTAAATTTTTTCATAAAAATATCTTGAATGTATTTTGTTTTTTAAAAGTAAAATTGATTTTATAATCATTATATCATGGCATTATTTTCTTCTCCTTTAGTTGTCTCTATTTTGAGAACTAGTATAAATTCTTACCTCCAGGAGATAAGGTTCCATTTGATCCAGGGTTTTCCCAAGATGCTTATCAGGATCTAAACCTGCCAAGAAAGGTTAAATTTGTTAGGGATAACTATTGGGTGGGAACTTTAAAGATGCATTCTCCTTCTGCTGGCCCCTCCTTGCTAAGGAAACCAGTGTGTGTATATTTTAAATTGCCTTGATCCATTTTCAAAAAATGTACTTTGCTAGTATTTCTTTTTCTATTCTTCTTGGGAAACTGGTTTTATTGCTCCTGAAAAGTAAGTTTCGATTTATTTCAATGGTACTGTGTCAACTCCCAAATGAATTGTTTCAATTCCTTCCTCCTTTTTGAATAACTGTAATTAGGATGAAAAAAAAAGTATCATTGCAAAGACATGAAATTAAAATTCTTAATATTTTAATTCTAATGGTTTATTTTATTCATGGATGACAGTGTGACTTTTCTAATTGATCTCTATTTTATTTAAACTTCAAACTTCTTACTTAGAGAATAAGAGAAAATAGCAGTAGACTGTTATACCTGTAAAATTAATTCACTTGATAGCACATGGGCACAAAGAATTGTATTATAAATGACATTTCATTTCCATGACCACTTGTGCAACAATGTGTTTTTCAAGTAAAGCCAGAGATAACTGAAAAATCATTATTGTGTCAATAATATGTACATTACCTTTAATAACTAAGATACTTAACTGATATAATAGTAAAGTTTGTGTAGGTGATGGGATGCAGGTGACAGGTGTAGTCAGTAAGAATGCTTTCTATACTCTAAGACTAACTTGCCAGGAAAAAAGAAAAATTCACATACCACAAGTTTGCTATAAAATAAATGAATTCATTTTAGATATGTACATCCATATGTAGTATTGGTTTAGCTTCATTTTAAAAAGTCATTTTTATTTATTATTAGTTTAAATCATTCAGTTTATTAATTATACAAACTGATGAATAATTTTCTGTTTCCAGTTGAATGCCTTTTATATATAAATAAAATCTTCAATTCTATTAGGTATTGCCAGATTTTTCTCCAAAGCAGTATTACCAATTTAAACTTCTACCACCAGGGAATTATAGTTTCCATTTCACAGACTGTGAAAATAATTTAGTGTTGTTAGATATTTTAATCTTTGCCAGTCTAATATATAAAAATTGCTTTGCATACTTGTCTTAATTTATTTTTTTCTGATCACTAATAAAAGTAAAGTTTTTTTTTCACATTTCATTACCCATTCATTCAGGTTTTCACTTCTGTGAATTGCTTATTAAAATCATTTGCCCAGTTTAAATGTTGAATTTACCTTTTATTTAATGATTTATAGTTTATGACATATTCTGTCATCATTATAAGTACTGCAAACATCCTCCTAATCAGTGTTTTGTCTTTATACTCTGTATTGGTGATGGAGGAGGAGGTTTTTTGATAAACAAGAGTTTCTTATTTTATAGTAGTCTTATTATTATTTTTGAATGATTGGTTTCTTTGTATTGTAATAAACCCTTTCCTACCCTAAGATCTTAATGTTAGTCTCTCATATTTTTTTTTCAAAGTTTTGCATGTAAATCTTTTTCATCCAAAATTTACTTTCAGGCCAAATGTTCCTTAAGTGCCTGGCCCCCTCTCCAATCTTGGAGAGGAGGATCTACCCTTTTTCTCTGATCTACTTTCTAAATAAACTTTTTCTGACCTAAAAAATAAATAAATTAATTAATTAAATTTACTTACAGATATTATATATAAAGTGATATAATTTTATTTGTCATTTATAGATAATTGGTACTGTTTATGGAATACCTTCCCTACTGATGTATATGCCACCTCTGCCAAATACAAAGTTTCTATAAGTAGTCTGTGTCATGTCACCTACATTTACTTCAAAATACTTCAGCATAACCCGTGTGACATACAAGTTTCTGTCTTAATCTATACTCTAGAGTTGTTTAGTTGGCAAATAAAGGACTCTAATCAGAACCCATGGCTCCAGAGGATTCAACTTCTAGTGTTACAATGATCTTGTCTCTCTCTCTCTCTTTCTAAGACAGGGTCTCACTCTAGGCCAGGTTGGAGTGCACTGGTGCAATCATAGCTCATTGCAGCCTTTAACTCCTGGGCTCAAGGGATCCTCCTGCCTCAGCCTCTGGAGTAACTGGGACTACAGGTGCATGCCACCATGCCTGGCTAATTATTTATTGTAGATATGGGGTATTGCTCTATTGACCAGACAAGAATTTCTGTCTGTAAGTGATTGTCCCACCTTAGTTTCCAAAAGTGCTGCAACTGCAAGAGTGTGCTACCAACCCAGCCTCCAATTTTCTTTATCTTAGATGAGCAATAGAAATTCTGCAAATTAATACAACTGCTACTAGAAATGATCTTTCCTTATAGAATGTATTTATTTAAAAAACAAATCATATAATCATTACTATGTGTAAGGCACTGTTGTAAGTGACCTACAAACATTAGCTAAGTGAATTCTCAGAACAATAAGAATGACTAAGTACTTTTATTGTCCCCATTTAACAGATGAAAAAGTTGAGGCATAGAGAAGTTCAGAAGTTCAGTGAATCTCCAAGGTCACTCACTAACAACAGATAAAATCAGGATTCAAACCCAGGAAGTCTGGGTATGGAGTCCATACTTTGAACCACCGCACTATTGGATTAAGAAAGTTTCCATCACTCCCAGGGGAGGACGGAGGCACACATCATCAACAAAGTTACCTGCATAATGAACATATATATACCTAACCCTGAATTGCACCCCACATATTTAAAATAAAAAAATTTAAAAAGGTAAACATAATAAAAAAAAGAAAGTTTCCATCTATTCCTCATTTGCTAAGATTTCTGTGTTGTTTTGTTTTCAGAGCAAGGAAAAACACCAAAGTTTACACTTCTTCCATACATACTGTGATGTGTTGTTCAATGTTTTTACTAATACTGGATATTTCTAAGTTTAAAACTTTTGCCATTCTGACAGAGAAAATTGCTACTTATCTAACTGGTATTTTTATTTGTATATCTTTACATCTGTATGATTGAGGTTACATTTTTTTTCTTTTGGAAATATATGGTCAGATTTGTAACCACTTTTCCTGTGAACTGACTATCTATGACTTTTGACTAGTTATCTAGCAGACTATTAGCTACTACTAACACACACTTATGATGAAAACTCTCAGTAACTAGGAATAGAGGGGAACTTCCTCAACAAAAAAATCTACAGGCGACATCATACTTAATGATGAGTAATTTAAAGCTTTCTGATTGGGAACAAGACATGCCTTTTTCAATAATACTTTTAATACTTCCACACCTCTAAACCAAGAACTTTTAATACTTCTAAACCTCTAAACCAAGGTCATTAGTCCCTTGCTCATCGAATGTGTTTTATCTAGTGTTTGCCATTTGTTTTAGAAATTCACTTTGGGGAGAATATTCTATTGTGAATTTTTTTTTTTAGAGAAGGGGGATGGTATCACTATGTTCCCCAGGCTGATTGCAAACTCCTGACTTCAAGTGATCTTCCCACCTCAGCCTCCCAAAGTTCTAGAATTACAGGTGTGAGTCACACCACCCAGTCAACTGCTCTTTTGTACTTAGATCTTGTCAGATGTTTGGCAATTTGGAAGTCTCATCAAAGTGCCAGCTTTTTGTTGTGTTTTCTGTTTCATTTTTAAAATCATGTTATTTAAGGTTACTCTTATTTCAAATACATTTGTTATTTTTCACTGCTTTTTGTTGTCTACAAATTTAATTGCATTTTGGTAGAAGACAATTCTTTAAAATGTGGTAAAATCCTGTAATTATTAACATTCCAAAACAGAAAGCACCAGGCCTAGATGGATTCACTAGTAAATTCTACTAAACATTAAGGAATAGTTTATGCCAATTCTTTACAATCTCTTTTAGAGGATACAAGCACAGGGAATACTGTCTAAGACATTCTAGGAGGCCAGCTTTACGCTAACACCAAAATGAAAGATGTTACAAGAAAGAAAACTACAGACCAATATTTCTCATAAACACAGATGCAAAAATCACCAACAAAATATTAGCAAAGAGAATTAAAAATGTATAAAAAGAGTTATACACCACAACAAGTGGGATTTATTTCAGATACACAAGATTGGATCAACAATTGAAAATTAATTAATTTATCACATTAACAGACTAACAAGAAAACTTAAATGATTATATCAATAGATGCAGAAAAAGCATTTCACAAAATCTAACACCTATTCATGATGAAAACTCTCAGTAAGTAGAAATAGAAGGGCGCTTCCTCAACTTGCTATCTACAAAAAAAAATCTACAAGTAACATCACACTTAATGGTGAGCAATTTTGAAATTCTCGCTAAGATTGGGAACAAGGCAAGGATATCCCCTCGCCATTCCTTTTTAACATCATATTGGAAGTGCTGGCTAATGCAATACGACAAGAGAAGTAAATTTTTTTTAAAAAAACTGTTTTTGTTTGCAGATAGCATGAACATCTATGTAGAAAATCTGAAAGAGTCACCCCCCTGCTAGAACTGCTATAATTATTGATTATCACATGGTTTCAGGATACAAGGTAAATATATATAACTCATTCACTTTCCTATATACCACCAATAAACAAGTGAAATTTAAAATTTAAAAAATATAAAATCTTTTACATTAGTGCTGCAAAAATAAAATATTAGGTTCTAAATCTAACAAAATTAAGCCCAAGATCTATGAGGAAAACTATAAAACTTGGATGAATAAAATCAAAGAACTAAATAAATGGACAGCTATTAATGTTCATGGATAGAAAAACTCAATATTATCAAGATTTCAGTACTTCCTAGCATGATAAATTTGTTGCAATCTTAACTGAAATCTCAGAAAGTTATTTTGCTGATATTGACAAATGATTTTAAAGTTTATACAGAAAGACAAAAGACCCAGCACAGCCAACACAATATTGAAGGAGAATAAAGATGAAGGACTGATACTACCCAAATTCAAAACTTACTATAAAGCTATACTAATCAAAAGAGTGTGGTATAAATCAATGGAACAGAATAG